TACAGTTGAGGAAAATGAGGCAGAGGTTAGGTAAACTGCCCAGAGTCACACAGCCAGTTAAGTATCTGATGCCAGATTTGAACTCAGGTCTTCCGGACTCCAGGCCCAGCACTCTATCCAGTATGCCCTCAGCTTTTTCAAAGCATATTGCATTCATTATCTCATTTGATCCTCATAATACTCTGAAATCTGTACTATGTGTATCATTAGTTCCATTCAATAAATGGGAAAATGAGGTTTAGGTGGGTAAATTATTTTGCTTAAGATCATACAGATATTAAATAGCAGGGCAGGGATCTGAACCGAGGTCTCCTGGATCCAAAGCAAGTAAATCAATAATAATAATAGTTGACATTTATATAGTACTTTACAATTTATAAAATGCTTCTGATACATCTTTTCATTGGAGTCTGAAAACAACCCTATGAGCTGAGAAATGCAGTTATCATTTCCAATTTTTAGATGAGGAAAACAAGGATCACAGAATTCAAATGATTTGCCCAAAGTAAAAAACAAAAACAAAAAAAACAAAAAAACAAGTAAGTTGAGGAATAAGAAGTGAACTCGAGTTATCTGACTTTAAATTGAATGCTCTTTCTACTAGATGACAATTGCTTCCTCTTGTTAAAGGTTGTCCAGAAATAGATCCAAACATTGTCTTACCTTCTATACGTTCCTAAAAGAACTGGGAACAGAATCAACTGAATCACGAGACACTATATTTGTTGAGTCTAGGCTCAGCATACTCAGATGATTAGAACATTAGTATTAGTAATAAAATATGCACAGGTTTGCTCCCTTTGTGGGGCCGATTCCTTTCACTCGATTGATCACAGACTGCCCCTTTTGTCTTGATCAGCCCTATTGTAAATGAGAGCCGTAGATGAGCAGCAACACTTTACATAAAAAGTACAACCTACACCCACAAAGACTCTCCAGTCAAATCCATGCTATTTTTTTTCCAAAATAACATTTTTCTATGCATTTTTAACAAGTGAAAAATGCTTGCTTTATGCAATGTCTAATTTAGAAAGACCATGAGAAGGAGGCTCATAGAATTCTAGACTTTACATTGCCTTTGGTACCTCATCATGACATGGAGGGAATACTGAAGTCTTGAAGCATATAACAGCAGTACACCAGCTTTGGAAAGTCCTACCAAGTTGGAAAGGTTCTGAGTATGGATCCATTGCCAGAACTGTATTTCTGCTATCTGAGGACAAGTCTAGCTAAGTTTGGAAGGTCTCACATTTGGGATGGATTTTAAGTGAAGATTTTTTTGGTTACATAAAATCTCAAAAACTACCTACTAAATTGTGGAGGGCTGTGACCTGCAGTGGTAGAATGAGACCCATAGTGAAAGGAAGTGCTGAAAAATGCATTAACTCTTTTGGTTTTCATACCACTCTATTAATTCATCTTGAGGTGGAAACCCATTAGAACTCCTGGGGCTTTTTCACATTTAAATATTTTGTAGCTAGGCTTCCCCATCTTTTACTTGTACCACATTTTTTTCTTTAACCCAAGTTAAAACTCTACCTACCTCTCCCACCTTTATACCATCGAAAATTTAATAAGCATGTTACCCGTGTCTTCGTCAGAACAGTGAAGGGACTCAACATCACGTAATGAGGATTATATAAAAGAACTGAGGATGGTTAGCCTAGAAAAGACATTGTAGGAAGATGGGATCCCTTCAAATATGTGAAAGGCTTTTTTGTGGAAGAAGGCTTAGACTTGTTCCACTCCACAAGGGCAGAAAAAGGATCAATGGAAGGAAGTTATTTTGTTGTTGTTGAGCTGTTTTAGTCATGTCCAACTCTTTGTGACCCCATTTGGGGTTTTCCTGGCAAAGATACTGGAGTGGTTTGCCATTTCCTTCTGCAGCCCATTTTACAGATAAGGAAACTGAGGCAAATAAGGTGAAGTGACTTATCCAGGGTCACACAGCTGGGAAGTATCTGAGGCTGGATTTGAACTCATGAGGATGAGTCTTCTGGATTCCAGGCCCAGTGCTCTATCCACTGTGCCACCAAGCCGCCCCAGGGAAGTTACTAAGAAGCAGATAATCTCTCTACATAAAGGAAAAATTTAATTAAAATGTTCAAAAAATGGAATGAGTTGCTTCAGTAAGTAATGAGCTCCTATTCAGTAGATGTGTTCAGAGCATGACCCCATGTCATATAGATTTAAAGATGGGACTTATACTTCAAATAGGGCTTGGATTAGACAACCACTAAGGTCCTTTCCAACTCTGGGAAGTCTAATCCTAAAATTCTATGATCCTGAGCTCTCCAGGTCATGATTTGACATTAGCCAAATTATTCATGAAATAATGAATATCACGAACACAACTATGCTGCTGAGTCCAAAACAAAATGGAAATTTCAAATTACTATCAAAATTAAACTAAGGACATCAACCAATTACTCCTTCTCATGGGTTTAAAGAAGGTACTTAAGACAGGAAGCCTCACATGAATAGGGTGAATGAAACCCAGGGATGAGAAATTAAAGGAGTCATTTTCAAACCACATGGATTGGAAATTAATTCCTAATAGCTGAAAACACAGCTTGCTAGACAATGAAAGCAACACTGAAGTTCTCTGCTTTTACAGGCAATATCTCCCTGTCTCAGTAAGAAAAGGCTGCATTTGCAGATAAAAGCAAGTAGGGTATGACCTTCACACTCCAAAAAGAGGAAGATTTTACTTTCAAGTCTGAGCACACAGTGACTGGGGAAGATCAAAGTTGTTAGAGAAGATGGAAGTGGGAGAGGCAGGAGGGAATTTCTCAACATACTCTTAATATACCCACAGAACTTCTGCACTTTCAACAACTCATTCTAATTCCAGACAAAGGATTGGGGCCATGAGGCTCCTGCAGAGAAAAATTCATCTGGCCCTAGGAGAGGTTAGATGGCCAAGTCCCTTAAAAACATTTGACTTGGTGTTAGGAGACTTGAACTCAAGTGATTTACCATAGGCAAATCACTTTTCCCCAACTTCTTTATCAAAAAAATAGGAATAATAATAACCACTGAATTATTTACCTCACACCAGGTTATTGTTAAGATTAAAATGTGTAAAGTGTTATAAGCATGTCCAGCCATCCTCCAATCAGCTGCCAAATCTTTTTAATTATATCTCTACATTTCTTTTTTTTTTTTAAATAGGCAATTGGGGTTAAATGACTAGCCCAGGGTCACACAGCTAGTAAGTGTCAAGTGTTTGGTCTGAGGCCAGATTTGAACTCAGGTCCTCCTGACTTCAGGGCCAGTGCTCTATCCACTGGGCCACCTAGCTGCCCCTATCTCTACATTTCTTGAATCTGTCACCTTTTCTCTAACCATATTGTTATCACTCTAATTCAGACCTACATCAAGTTGCAAGTGGATTACTCTAATAGCTTTTCTAAACAATATCCTATCTGCTTCCAGTCTCTTCTTTTTCTGATCAATCCTCCAGAGCTGCTGAAATAATAGCACTAAGGCACAGGTCTGACCATGTCACTCACCAGCTCAAAGACCTTTAATGGCTCCCCAATGCTTAAAGGAGAAGATACAAATTCCTGACATATAAGACCCTTAGCAATCTTGTTCCTACTCATCATTCTAGCCTTATTTCATACACAACTCTTCTTTGCAAAGTGTGTATGTTCCAGCCAATTTTCATTTATCTGCTGTTCCTCAAACTTGACCAGCCACGTTCTGCTTTTGGACATTTGTACTGACCAAGATCTCTCCCCATGCCTGGAATGTACAGTTCTTTCTTCTAACCTCAGATCCCGGAGAGTGGTTACAACTTACCTTGAGAGTATTATTTCATATTATTCCCACTCATTCACTCTTATCTTCCAAGCTATACTACTACTGGCAAGTCACCTAAACTTGTCATGCTGTCTCTTTCTGTTCATTCCAGCAGGCCTTCCCAATGCTCCCAATAAATGTCCCGCTCATACTTCCCTTCAGAATCCTTCCTTTTCTTCAAAGCTCAGCTCAGCTCTGCCACTAACTCCTCCATAAAGCATCTCTTCATCAGCTGAAAATGGTGTCTCCTTCCTCAAGTTTTCCAAAATTACTTTGTACCTCATATTACGTTCCATATTATATTTCTCTCTGTACAGATCACATTCCCCTAGAAGAACATAAGCTCCTTGAGGGAAGGGACATTAGAGTTTTACAATTTTTGCATTCCTATTTCCTAGCACAGTACCTTGTACACAAGTACTAAATATTTGTTGAATCAAATCTGTTCTTGCCTTGGCTATTTAAACTGCCTTCTAGTCAGTCTTCCCAAATCCAGTAAACCCCTTCTATCCTTCACACTGCAATCTGAATAATCTCCCTGTAAGATGCTTCGAATCATATCACTCTGCTACTCAAAAACCTTGAGTAGCTCCCCTGTCTTTACCAAATAAAGCAAAAACCTTTGAACCTAGAATTCAAGGTCCTATATATAAGACTGGCTCTAACCTACTTTTCCAGCTGGAAATGCCCACATATTCTTCATTCCATCCTCATCTTATTGTCTTGTCTGTCTTTGCTCATGACAACCCCTAAGCTTGAAAGAGACTTCCCTCCCTTCTTTCTTCCATCTTGTACCACTAAAATCTTTCCCTTTAAAGCTCAACTCAGATGTTTCATTCTATGACATGTTCTCTGACTCTCCTAGTAAAAGGGAATTCTCCTTTGCATTTATTTCACTATCCCACTGAATTAGAGGTATCTGTCATATTCAGTGCTCCGGCCTAAATGTCTTTTTCTATTAGACTGTCAAGTCTACGAGAGCAAGGCCTTGCCCATATCTACCTTTAAATCTCCAGTGACCAGCTCTTGTTTACAACAGGTGGTTACTAAGTTCTTTGCTGAATGAACAATTTGGTTGAGTGGAGCTGCTCTTGCTTTATGATTATTTTTAAGCCATCCCCCAAAGATTTCACTTTGACCATCAGCCCCATCCCATCCTCAGGCATGAAGACGGTGCAGAGAAAGAGCAGTACCTTCCGCCTGGGAGTTACTCTGCTTCAACTTCATGTTCTTGGCATGAGTCTTCCCCAGGTAGTGAGACTGGGCCACGATGGGGGAAGAAAAGGTCATGTTGCAGATGGCACAGCACCGATCCCTGTCATCGCCATGGCTGCTCTCCTGCTCAGGAGGGAGAACGGTGCCCTTTTACTGGCTATTACAGGGACCAGGCTAGAAAACAAGACAGTTCCACCCCACCCTCAGTCTGTAGGGCCCTGGCCTCATCTCTGTTTTAATCTTGGCATAAGTGCTCAAAGAAGGTAACCAGGAGAACAAATGGCTCAGTGATAATGCTCCCTCTTATATGTAGGATAATTGGTCATTTTCCAAGTGCTTTTAAGCTCATCTGAGTCTCACAACAGCCATGTGAGGGAGGCAAAGCAAGAATGTAAGGGTCATAGGATTCTGCACTGGAAGGAACCTCAAAACCATTTAGGACAACTCCCTCATTCTTTAGGAGAATTAGGAAACTGAGGCCCAGGGAGGTTTAGTGACTTGTCCAAGGTCACAAAGGCAGCAAGCAGCAAATTTGTGATTTGAATCTAGGTCCTCTGACTCCAAATCCAGCATTCTTTCTATGACAGCCCCTCAAATACACTTCTTACCTGATACCTTGCCTCACAGATCTCCTCTACCCTCTCTTCCCCGTAGGCCTGATAAATACTCCTATTTCACAGACCAGGAAACAGATTCAGAGAGGGAATATGACCATGCAGCTCCTAAGTGGCAGAACTAGTAGACGATTCCAGGCTTAAAGCCTTGCCCAGTGATCTTTTCAATACTTTACTCTCTTGATTCAAACAGACAGATCCAGGCATACAGTTAAATGTCTCGGGGGAGAAAGAGGACAGACTTCTGGATTTGGAGAGAGAAAGATGGGGATTTCTGGATTTGGGGAACACATTTAAGCCTAATTAGATTCTAATTACAGCAATTAAGTAGAAGTACATTCTACTTGTCAGACAACTATTACAGATCCAGAATTCACTTCTTTAAATTGAAAAGAAATGGAAGACCATAAACCTGGGCTTCTAATGTATCTCCCCATTCCATGCATTGGGACACTTGAGAAATGAGATGTTCTGACAAGAGGGATCACATTTTCAGATTCCTGTCTTAATCATTAGTTACCTGGGAGCCTTCTCACAACCTCTGAGGAACATTGGTGCTCATATACTGTTGGGAAAATAGAAGAGCTCCCACTAAGTTAGCTCCCTCCTCTGTTCCAACATACTCCAGAAGGGGAATGTTTTGTTTTGATAGATCTTCTTTACCATGGGAAGCCTGATATTATTACCTGTTTTGAATCTAGCTTCAGTTTTTTCCCATCATTAAACTCCTCCTCTTTGTGAATAGATGTGTATCTCCTTACTTTGTTTGCATGCTTCTTGCTCTGGAAAAAACCCAGGAGAAAGAAAATTAAAAAATACTTTTTTAACCAAATGTCTTTTAATAGTGCTTGGCTAACGATGTTTACCTATCTAGAACATCGCTCCAAGTGCCTCAGACTAATTGTTAGATTCTTAAAAAAAAAAACCAAAACTTTTTTTTTAAATGATAAAGAATAGGAATTTATTGTGTATTTCTTGACTTCTTCTGTTGTGTTAACAATTAGTACATTTCAGAATCAAAGAAAACCTGCAGTTTAGGGAGAAGGAGGGTTTCTATTCAAAGTGCAATTTTTGTTCATGTTTTAATCTTAGAATTGTGAAATAATGAATAGCCATCCTTTATTCATTTAATGAATCCAATATTTTATTTAAATGGTTCTGCCTACCACCAAAATTATTATTGAACTGAAACAAAATGCTATAGTAGAATCACATTTTGGGGACATCAGATAATTTTACTCAAACTTTGCTATTTACCTGTGTGAATGTAACATAAGCTATTTGATCTCCCTGGATCTGCATATCCTCATCTGTGAAGTAAGGGGACTTGGGATACAGAATTTCAATCTAGATGTTTTTAATGAGGAATTCATAATGATTTGGATCTGAGATGCATTCATTATCTCTTGAAAAAAATGTGTTAAATAATTTAAAGTACTGTAGAATGCTGGAAAAAACAGTAAACTAGGAGTGAAGATCTAGCTTTTAGATTGAACTTTACCATTTACTTTCTTTTTTTTAAATTAATTTATTTATTTTTAGTTTTCAACATTCACTTCCACAAGATTTTGAGTTCCAGATTTTCTCCCCATCTCGTCCCTCCCCCCACCCCAAGATAGCATGTATTCTGAATACCCCTTCCCCTAATCTGCCCTCCCTTCTATCTCCCCCCCTTTTCCCATCCCCTTCCCCTTCTATTTTCCTGTAGGGCAGGATAGATTTCTATACTCCATTACCTATATATCTTATTTCCCAGTTGCATGTGAAAACACTTTTTAACATTTGTTTTTAAAACTTTGGGTTCCAAATTTTCTCCCTCCCTCCCTCCCCACCCACCGTCATCGAGAAGGCAAGCAACTAGATACAGGTTATACATGTGTAGTCAGGCAAAACACTTCCATAGTAGTGAGAAAAAAAAAAAACCAAAACCAAACCAAAAACACAACTTTTACAATTCATTCTCATAATAACCAGTGATTGAAGGAATAGGTATATAGTGAAAACGAGGCATACAAAAGTTGTCACCTAAGGTCACATAGCAAAGATAATGTAAAGAGAAGGGACTGTACACTATGAACATGGGAGTCCCCTCTGTGTTGGGCTGAATTCTGAGGTAAACAGAACTATCCTATTTGCTTATTTGTATTTCTGTCTGCTCATAGAATGAAAAGACATCAGAGTTGGAAGGGACTTTAGAGATCGCTTAGTCCATTCTCTCATTTTACAGACAGAAGAAATACAAGTGAGGAGAAGACACTTGCCAGGGATATTACAGCTCATCAGTGGCAATGCAGGGACTTGATCCAGTTGTCTGACATCTATTGAAGAGGTTGCAGAGGTTTTCCTACTATTGGAGGGAGAGGGAGAGGTGAGAGTATATATCTACTCAACTAAGTGTGGTCACTTAGGGACAAAGTGGCACAAATCATTTGGTGGCTTCCTGATTGACTTGAAAGTGGTGCTGGGATTAAAAAACGGAACCAATGAGCCAGATCCAGAGGTGGAAGGTGGAGAAGGGAGGGGAGAACACCAAATTCAGTTTGGGAAAATGCCATTTTCATTTGGAGTACTCCATACAGAAGGAATGGGACCCCTAGGATAAGCCTGGGAAAACTTTAGTATAGGCTAGGTTTGCAAACTGAGTCACCCAGACTAGAACCAAGTGGTTTATTTTTTAGATAATTCTAACGATCTGTCCCTGAATATTTAATGTAGAGTATCTTTTACCTTGTTAAGAAACCCTAGATATATACTCTTGTTTTCTGGAAAGTGTAATGACAGGAGTAGAAGGGGAGCAAGTAAAGTTAATACTGGAACCAGGGTATCCTGAAATAGTAGATGGATAACAGATAAACAGAATTGTTGCATGGCAGACTGAACTCAGCCAAGAAAGTTCAGGTGCCAGGAAAGCCCAAGAGCTTGATATTCAATAAAAGAGTGAAAGGCAAAAGGGCCTAGGGCTAGAGGCAAGGTTCCCCTGGTCTGCAAAGAGAGGAGAAACTAGTATGCCTGGGAATGTAACTTAAAGTCAATGATGCCTAAGACTTATGTTGAATTACTGTATATTCTATGGATACACAGAGACTAGATCCAAGAAGCTAAACAGAGACTGTCACCTTTCAAACTTGGTAAGCTGAAGAGAAGCTAGAAATGGAACTCAGGTCTCCCTCCCACTCTCACTTTTTTTTTTTTGGCTAGGCAATGGGGTTAAGTGACTTGCCCAGGGTCACACAGCTAGTAAGTGTTATATGTCTGAGGCCGGATTTGAACTCAGGTCCTCCTGTCTCCAAGGCTGGAGCTCTATCCACTGCGCCATCTAGCTGCCCCCCACTCTCACTTCTGAACTGTTATCAATGGGTCTATGGAGCAATTACAGTTCTCTTAAATGGCCACTGCATGATACCTGGTAATGGGCGAGTTTCTGGGACTCAGAAATGAGTACTGCATTGCATACTTTACACTGGACATCTGTGAACAGGTGGTTGTTCTCTTGAATCATTCGATCCACTGCGGAGGAAAAGAAAAGTCACATTAATTGTCTCATATCCATCCCACAAGGTCATAACATGACACACTCCCCTTCAGAACTGATCAGGATATCCTCTAGTCTATACTGACAATAGAGAAGAAGCAAAAACAGTCTCAAAGTATTCTAGATTCCCTTACAAAAATAGGCAGGATGTCAAATTGAGAAACCAGAGGCTTGATTTAATTTTTACCACAATTCTGCCAAAGGGGCTAATAATTCTATGTCTCTTTGGTACACAAGAAGTCATTTTCCATTCCATCTTGGACAGGGCTGTGTGGTTGCCCCTGAAACCTATGAATTATAAATCACATTTCTGTCACAGTTTAAGGTTTACAGAAGGCATTCCTGACACTTCCCTCTCCTTAGCTGGGAGATGAGGAAGCACTGATGTGAGATATTGTCTACTCTTGTCCAATGCATTAGCCCTATCATTTGATTTTGCTTGATTGTTTTTCTCTGCTACAAGATAAGAATTTTATGGTAGGATGGGGTTTAGAAATGTTTTATATAAAAATCTAAAGGAATCAATAAAACTTTAAAAGAAAAAACAGAACACCTTCCACAAATAGAAGAACTTTGCATTTTACACACAAGGAAACTGAGGTTCAGGGAAGTCAAGTGCTTTGTCTTGTCCATAGTCATAAAACAAACTGTTTTTAATTTGCTTTGAACACAATTGTTAAGAAGTTACACAACCAGGTAAGGTCAACTGGCTCTGGACTTATCAGGGGAGACATACATACATAAGCATATACAGAACATACATGGAATAACAATAATGTAGTTAAATACAAAGTATTCAGGGAAGGAGGCCACTAACAACTGGGGAAACATCAGGAAAATCTTTATGTAGAAGTTGATGCCTAAGCTAGATTTTAAAGGGAGGGATTCTAAGAGTTGAAGGTGAAGGAGGGCTTGGGAGATAGGTGGTAAAAAGGCACAGAATTGGGGATGAAGTTACAAGTGTGAGGAACTACGGTTCCTCAGTTATATCACAACAGCACCACCAACCCTTCTAGTCACTCAGAATCAAAACCTCCTGGTCATCTGATTCCTCCCCTCTTCTTTATATTCATCAGTAACCAAGTCCTGGTGTTTCTACCTTCACAACAACTCCAGAATCCATTTCTTTCTTTATTCCTGCTGTCCCCATTCTGGTTTAGGTTCTCTTTATCTCTCTCAAACTACTGAAAGAGCATCACATACTCTTGAAGTTACAAGAGATTTCAAAGGTCATCTAGTCCAAACTGTACCTAAGCAAAAAGAATCTCCACTACAACATCCAATGACTTCCACAAGTGTTACCAAGGCAGCAGATTCCATTTTTGGAGAGTGTGATGGTTAGGAACTTTTCCCTTATAACAAGTAAGCCCAAATTTGTCATTCCGAAGTTTTTACCCATTGCTCCTAGTTCTTGCCCTCAGACCGAGATGAGTAAATTTAATACCTTTTCCATATAATAGCCCTCAAATTCTTGAAGACATCATGTTTCCTTTCTCTTCTCCAAGATAAATGTTCCTAGTTCCCCACTCCTGCTTTAACCAATCCCCATATGATGACTGCAGGCCCTTTACCATCCTGGTTGCCCTCATATGAGTCCTCTCTAGCTTACCAATGTTTTTCCTAAAATATGGCATCCAGAATATTCTGGATGTGGTGGTCACAGCAGGGCAAAGTACAGCAGACTATAGCTTCCCAATTCTTGGATGTCAAAATGTTGTAGACTGAGATTGCCTTAGCTTTCTTGGCTGCCATAGCACACTGGTGACTCAGAGAGAGCTTATAGTCCACTCCAAGTGCCAAGATCTTTTTGGACAAGCTGCTGTCTAGCCATCCCTCTCTTATCTTGCATTCATGAGACTGATTTTTTGTTATCCATGTGTAAGACTTTACATTCATCCCTATTAAATTTCATCTTGGTCTTCTAACAAGCCATAGATGTCCATAGGACTTCCCACAAAGGAAGGTAGCTGTGGTACAGGGGGAAAAAGCACTAAGCTGGAAAGCCACAGACTGGTTCTACCACCTCCTCTCTATTTCTGCCCTTGACTAGTTTTGTGACCTTGACTGATTCAATTAATTTCACTTAACCTTATTCTCCTTCCTGACAATGAGAATAGCTGCATTGCCTATTTCAAGTGGTTGTTGTGAGCAAAGGGTCAGGGAGTAAACTTCTGTATATAAACTAAGAAGCCTTGTAGAAATGACAACTATTATTATTGATGTACATCAAAGCAAATGTGCACATAGAATATCATACTTTTGTCCTTTCCCAGTCTATCCTATTAACTGTTACCAGAGCCACTTTTCAAAAACAGTTCTTTCCATTCAAAACTCCTCAAAGTCTCTCCTCTATAGAAGAATCAAGACCAAAAAAGTCTCAGTTTATCATTTAAGAACCTGATGATCTGTCAGTAATTTATCTCTAGTCTTATCTCACACTGGCCCCCCTCTCCCCCACCGCCCAACCCCACAGCCATACTGAACTACTGGCCATTTCCTGAATCAAAGGATTCAGGATTTTTAAGCCCCACACCTTCCCACCTAGTCACCTTTGTTTCATCAACCTAGAATGCACTCCCTTTTATCTTTGCAAACATGAAAATGAACCACAAACCTTAAAGAACTGTATACCTACTATAACCATTCATTCCCCTAGCTAAATTCTGTTAAATTCCTATTCAGACTTCAAAGCCCAGATTACAAACCTTCTCCAAGAAACTCCTCCCATTCCCTAGTCTTCAAGATATGAGAGATAACTCATAACACACTTAGTTAAAATCCCTTTATGACCCTTATGTAGCCTGTCTTATGTAATTACTGGTCTATCTTATTAACTCTTCTAGACTGAACTCTCATACCCTGCTATTAGACTGGGCACAGCCTGGAAAAAGAAAAAGTAGAAAGGTGCAGACAAGAGAGTCAAGATGCCCATCCAAGGCACCGATACAGGGAAGATATGAGAGAATAGAGGAAGGGAAGCAAGTTTAGATTTCCATAAAACAGGATGGGGGAGAGGGATGACATATTAACCCTAGGAATCAAAAAAGGGGCAGTACTGCTAGTAAGACTAATTCAGTAATTAGAGGGGAGAAGAGGAGGACAGGTACAGGAAGTTTGTAATGAATGTCCAGGTGCCTGACAGGTCTGGACAAAGGTTGGAGCTGGCCTCAGCAAGGGTAAGCTGTGAGGAAAAGAATGATAATCATAGGAGTGGGGACCCTCAGAAGGCCATTATGCTAGGGAGAGAAAACAGGAAGAGCCTGAAAACCCTTAGGCAATGTTTAGGAATGAGGGCAGGGGCTGTGCCTAGGTGAAGCTAGATGTGGGGGTTCAACGGAAAACAGGAGGTATAGGCAGGGATGGGGAAGTGGTAAGATGTTCAGGTGAGGCTGGAGAAGTCCAAGACATAAGGTTAGGGGAGAGGAGAACGTATCTAAGAGCCTGGGGGGAGGTACTCCACCCTCTCACACCCCGCCCCCCCCATCGAGGTCAGGGTTTGATATCCAGGTGCAGTTGTTGGTGAGTCAAAACAGTGAGGGCGGGGAACCAGAAAAGGTATCCGGGTGGGTGAAGTCTGGCCAGTAGAGAGAGTTCAATATCCAGGTGTAGCTGATGGTGAATCAAGACAGCAAGGTTTGGGAACAGGTGTCCAGGAGAGGCTGGGCAGTAGGGAGGAGGCTGTAGAGGGACAGTGTCCAGGTAAGGCTGGGGACAGGACTGAGCAGTAAGGGAGGGAGGAGGATGTCCAGGTGAAGCTGGGGGCCAATCAGGGCTGGGGCGGGAGCAGGAGAGAAGCAATCCAGGTGAAATCGGATGTGAGGCTCAGTGGGGGGGAAGTTGGTGTGCACGTCCACGCACCAGTAAGATGTCCAGATGAAGCTGGGGCCAATCAAGGCAGTCAGGATGGGGGTGGGGCGGGGAGGTTCCACGGTCCCGCGCGCCCCGCCCCCTCACTGCGGGGTATGATGTCCAGGTGAGGATAGGGGCCATCTAGGCCGTTAGGCCCGGAGTCGGGGGAGAAGCCATCCAAATGAGGCTGGACGTGAGGCTCGGTGGCTGCCACCACACCTTCCCCTGGCCCCCCGCGCGCGGGGTGTGATGTTCAGGTGAGGCTGGGGGCCAGGCTCAGTGGGGACCGAGGGTGTAGCCGTGAGGCTTAGGTTCATAGGGTAAAGAGCCGCGTGCACGCGCGCGGGGTACGATGTCCAGGTGAGGCTGGGGGCCAGTCAGGGCAGTTAGGAAGGGGGGGGTACTGAAGCCATCCAGGTAAGGCTGGACTGAGGCTGCGGGGACGGGGTTGTACCGGTGAGGCGTGGGCTCAATGTGGGGCTTTGATCTCCAGGTGAGGTTGGGGCAGTCCAGGACGGAAGGCTAGGGGAGAGGAGAAGGGGGAGTCCAGGTAAGGCCAGGGTCAGAGTTATGGGAAAGGCCAAGTTCAGTGGGATCCGGATTCGATAGCCGGCTGCTAGCGGTGAGCCAAGGCAGTAAGGCTTGGGCACGGGGGAAAGCGTCCAGGAGGCTGGAGATGGGGCTCAGAGGGGAGGGAGGGTGTCCAGGTGAGGCTGGGGGCGGACCTGTCTCCCGGGGCCACCCCGACTTCCCTCCACAGGAGGGGGCGGAATGAATGGGCCCCAGGGGACACAGTAAACAAAGCCCCTCCGTCGCCTTAAGCCCGCCCTGCGACTCACCCGCCTCCTTCCCCACGGGCTCCGCCGTGTCGCCGTTGCTGCCGGACACATCCGCCATCTTCCCCGAAGACCCCGCTAAGCGCAGCCCCAACCGGCTTCAGCCCCCGTCTCGAGACCCAAATTCCAGCTGGGGCCGCGGATCTCGCGAGAACAACGCCCGTGGTCTCCCCCCCCCCCCCCCGCCACTACGGCGCTGCAACCGCGAGATTTCAGGCGGGCGCCAACGGCTTATCTCGCGAGATGCGCAGACGACTGGGCGTGCTGGGCCTTGGTGCATTGAGTAGCAGCATCTTTCGAAGAGTTTAATAAACCTTATGAGGTACTGAGCTCCCTGGGCACGGGAGTCGGAGAGTCATAAAATCTTAAGAGCCCGAGGGGGCAGCAGAAACCTTCCGGTCCAACCGCCACGATACAACTAGGGAGATAGGCCTAGAGAGACGGGGGGCACTTTGGCTAAGGTCGCACCCAAGGGGAACCCGGGGAAAAGCTCAGCGCTTATGGGTGGCCTTGGGGCTACATCCTCCCCTCCCCACCTTGGCCTCTTCCCCCTACAATTAAAAAAAAAATTAAGCGTTTGCTACGTGCAAGGGTCCCGTAGTGACTTGTGTACAAAGATGAAAAACGGTTCCTCACATTCCATTTCGTTTGGGAAGATGATCTGTGTAAACAGATGCAAAGCAAGGTAGAGGATTACAGAGATAAGAGAAGAAGTTCTTTAGGAAACACTACTGGATAGATAAGATGAAAAGATTTGCTATACCCAACTAAAAATGAAATCTCTAAAAATGTTGCTGCTCTTTGTAAATTTGGCCCATAGGGAGAACTCCCACCTCTTGTTGGGTGAGGAGTTTACCAGGAGAGAGTTTGAGCTCACTGTCCAGTCCTGAAATTGCCCTAATAAGGATATTCCATGAGCATGGCATGAACTGTATCAACAAATGGGTAAAGAATTTCTTTTAGAAAAAAAATCAGTTTTCCAGTTTCCAGTCCCCTCCCCTACCCCCTGAAAAAATCAGTTTTCACAGCCTCCAGGAAGACAATGGAATCCATGGCAATAACCAAAGGTAACTGCTCTACCGTAGTAAGTGACCTTGATACTGGACAGATCTGAAGCTGACTACTTCTCCAAGAACAGAGTAAGATCTAGAGACATCTGAGATACTATCTGCCCAAAAGTAAGAGCACCTGCATTGCAACTCTATAATAGGAACACTTTCCCCTCAAATTCAATGTAAACTTTTCAACTGTGTAAAAATTCTCTAGCTTTTCAAAGGCAAGTGGTTACTTATTGTCATATTGTTACACTCCTATACTTGCTGTGATGGTTTTTGTTTTTTAATTAAATTTTATTTTTTTCAACAGCAAAAATATACTTGTCCCTGTCCCCTCTTCCTTCCCCCACAGAGAACAAAAGAAAGAAAAACAAAACCTTTATTACAGACATGTATAGTCAAGCAAAACAAATTCTTACATTGGCCATCTCCAAAAAAAAAGTCTTAATTTGCACTGTGGGTCTATCATTTCTCTGTGAGGAGGTGGGTAGCATTTTTAATCATGAATCATCTGGAATTGTGGTTCATTATTGTGCTGATTGTAGTTCATAAGTCTGAATTGTTTGTCTTTACAAAATGGTTATCATTGTTGAAATTGTTCTCCTAGTTCTCATTTCACTTTTCATCAGTTCATACAAGTCTTTCCAAGTTTCTCTGAAACCATCCCCTTTGTCATTTCTTACAGTATAGTAGTATTTCATCGAATTTATATGCTATAACTTTTTCAGTATTCTGCAGTTGATAGATGCTTCCTCAGTTTCCAATTCTTTTTCTTTTTTTAATTTATTTTTAATTTATTTATTTTGATTTATCAATAATCACTTCCATATCCAATTCTTTTTCATTGAAAAATGCTGCTATATTTTTTGCACATCCTTAAGAATTTGTTTCATTTAGGAAATCTTTAAATAATTTTTCCTTTTTTCATTCTCTTCCTTCTCCTCTTTCCCTTGTTTCCTTGTTGAATGAAAAATATTTCTGGACCCTGCTGTGTGTGCATTCATTTTTCTCTCCTTTGACTAGTTAAGATAAGAATGAAATTTAAACTTTACTTGGTCTTCCATTTTCTTCCTTCTTGTTTGTATAGACTTCTACTTTTGGACCGCGTGTTAGATAATTTTCTCCATCATTCCCCATTATACCACGAAAAGTATTCCTCTTTCCCTCCCTTTCCATTCTTCTTTTAAAGTTAGCAACACGTAACTGAACCACTCTAGGTCCTCTATCTAATTAGACTTTCTCAAATGAAGATGATAGGATTCTGAGGGGACTCATTATCTCCCTATATTAGAATATAAATAGTTTATCCTCGTTTAATTCCTTATGATTGTTCACTTATATTTGCCTTTTTACGTTTTTCTTGACTTTTGTGTTTTCATTTCATATTTTCTATGCAGCTGTGGTCTTTTCATTAGGAATACTTGGATGTCCTATATTTTCTTATTTCCATTTTTTTTCTTGTAGGATTATGCTCAATTTTGATCGGCAAGTTATTCTTGGTTATAAACCTATCTTCTTTGCCTTCTAGGATATTTTCCAAGATCTCCACTCTGTTATATTGGTGGTTCTAAATCATGTGATTCTGACTGCTTACGGTATTTTTTTTCTTTGATCTGGAAACTCTGGATTCTGACTGCAGTGTTCCTGGAAGTTTTCATTTAGGGGTTTCTTTAATGAGGTGACCAGTCAATTCTTTCTATTTCTACCTTGCCCTCTGTTTCTTAGAGATCTGGACAATTTTCTTTTATGATTTCTTGAAATATGATGTCTAGGCTTTTTTTTTTTCCCATGGCTTCTAGGTCAGGTTTCCTCAAGATTTCTCTCCTTAATCTGTTCTCCAAGTCTCTTGTTTTTACTATGAGATACCTTATGTTTTCTTCCCTTTTTTTCCCCTCAGTCTTTTGACATTATTTTAATATTCTTGTTGTCTTATTTAGATTATTCTGATTTTTAGGGAATTTGTTGTTTGGGCAAGATTTTGTACTTCTTGTGCCGAGTTATTCTTTCTTCTATAGCTTTCATTTCTTTTCCAGTGTATTCATCTAGCATTCTCATTTCATTTATTAAAAACATTTTAAACTTAAAAAAACCAACAACAACCAAACTTGTGCTTCAGCTCTTCCAGGAATTCTAGTTGAACTTGTGCCCAAGCTGTGTTTTTCCTTGAGGCTTTGCTTGTAGATGTTATGGAGTTGTTCTTTTCTCCTGGGTTTGTGTTTTAAGAGTCTCTATCATCATAATAGGTCTTTGTGGTGGGATTCTTCTTTTGTTCATTCTTCGGACTTTAGACTTTGTTAGGCTTGGGTCCTGTATACTTTGGAAAGAATATCTAGACTGGTCCTGCTGGTCCCCAATTCTTGAGGTACTGATATATTATTTAAAGCTTTCAAGGACAGTTGAGAATGGGGACCTGCAAGATTTCAGTGCTCTTAGCACGGTCTGATTCAGGGCAAAGTTTGATTGTTGCTCTCCTGGACTGAGCTCTGCAAGTTCTTGACTTTGCAGCTTGACTCCTGTTTAGGTTAGAGCGAGATAGTGTATCAGCTTACCTTTGGCTAGAAGTTAGTGTAGTCAGTTGCTGGATTCAACCACTATCAACTGTTTGGAAATCTCTACTAGCTCAGAGTAACAGAACTGCCCCCGCCTCTTTGGTTTGAAATTCCTGGCCTGGTTATATTCTCTGCAGGTTTCAGAGCAGGCTGAAAGCTGAAACTGAGACCCCACTCAGCCCCTTGGGTCAGGGCCACATAACTGCTGCTTGCTTCTGAACTTGCTCCTTGTTGAGTACCAGCCTAGGGGCCTGTGACTTCTCCTTACTACCCTTTTAAGGGCAGTCTTCAGTCTGTCCTGGATCTGTCATCCAGAGTTGAGTAGTAAGCAATAAAGCTGATAGTTTGCTCCTATTCCTGTTCCCTGGTCAAATTTAGGCACCCCCCTCTTTTTTTTCTTCTTCTGAATTTAGTACCTCTTCTTATCCTGTCACAGCCTCTCCTTGTGCTGGAATATTCTTCATGGACGTTCTTGGCTAAGTTCTGCCCCCAGTATCTACAGACCTTTCTGTCTGTCTCCCCATGCTGACCTAGGCTGGAAAAATAACTCACTGTGACTTTTCTTGGATTTCCCAATCAGGACTTGGTCTATTGCTTTTTTTAGATATGTTTGAAGGAGTTGGATGTGGCAGTGGGGGAAGAAGCTCAGCTGTACTTCTCCCTACTACTCTGCCATCTTTATATTGATGCTTTTTCAATGGCACTTGAGCCTTATATATATGTGTATGTATGTATGTATATATATATATTTCAATTTTTCAATTAATGTGTGATCTCATCAATATTTTTTCCATTGCCACAGATTATAATCTGCTTATGACTTCTCTGACACATTTGTTTTTTTTGGTTCATTGTTCTTCTATAGATTCTCCATTAAAAATTTTCCCAGTGTTCTAACAGTTTTCTTCTAGGGCTTTTTACATTTTATGGGTACAGTGCATTTATTCCTTTTGAATTTTGAATGCAGGTCCACTTATTACTTTTTTTTTGAGGTTTTTCTTTTTAAAATTTATTTTTAGTTTTCAGCATTCACTTTGTAAGATTTTGAGTTCCAAAATTCCTCCCTCCTTCCTTTCCCTCCTCCCCAAGACAGCATGCAATCTGATATAGGCTAAACTTGTCCAATCATATTAAACATAGTTCACATTAGTCATGTTGTGAAAGAAGAATCAGAACCAAAGGGGAAAAACATGAGAGAGAGAAAAAAAAGAGAGAAAATAGTATAGTATAGTTCAGTCTGCATTTAGACTCCATAGTTCCCTCTCTGGATGTGGATACCATTTTCCATCATGAGTCACTTGGAATTGTCTTAGATTATTGTGTTGCTGAGAGGAGCTCAGTCTATCAAAGTTGATCCTCCCACAATGTTGCTGTTACTGTGTACAATGTTCTCTTCTACAATGTTCTCTTGGTTCTGCTGACTTCATTCAGCATCAGTTCATGTAATTTTTCCAGGTTTTTCTGAAATCTGCCTGCTCATCATTTGTTGTGAAACAATAGCACTC